GCTTACCCCCATGGCACTCTCACGCGCCAGTGTCTCGCCCTCACAAGAGACCCCCAGTCCTATCTCTCCTCGTCTTGCTTTTCCTCCTCCTCCACCTTTCCCTCCTCCTCTTCCTCCACCTCCTCCGCCCCTGCCACTCATTCCTCCTCCCCCTCCGCAATTCCGATCGCAATCCTCATGAAAGGTTGCTCTCAAATCCTCCTGCTTGCAGGGTCGCACTATTTCGCTGGAGAAATCACCCCAAAACATTACCTAGCCCACCCAGCAACAACGGAAAACTAATCCAATGTCGCTGCGCGCAGACCTGGCGCCAGCAGGACTCTTGTCGGCGGTGCCAAGCAGGCGTGTTGGAGCACACTTGCGAATCAAAACGAAGCGCATGTGTATTGCAGTCCTCGTGGGAAAAGATGCTCGCGAATCCTCCTGCGTGCAAGTTATCCTGGGTTGTCAAGGTTTCCAAGGATAGAGAAGTCGCCGTGTTGCGCTGGAAGCAAAAAAGGGACCCTTGACGGTGACCAACCGGATTTCGGGTGACCCGCCCGCTCGTGGGTCACCCGGTCGCGCGCGCGCGGACGCGCGTGTGGCGAGTTTTGAATTGTCCACAACGAATGAATCGCCATGTTGGCATGGAAACGAAAATGGCTTCACAACGGTGACCAATTGCATTTCGGGTGACCCGCCCGCGCGTGGGTCACCCGATCGCGCGCGCGCGTTTGGACGCGCGCGCGCGGCGAGTTTTGTATTGTCCACAATGGAAAAACGCTATGCCCACTTGGAAACTAGAGTACTCGCTCAACGGTGACCGATTGGATTTTGAAGTGAACATGCGTTTCCGATTGGATTTTGAAGTTAACACGCGTGTTTCACTTCTATGCCTTCTCCTCCTCCTCCTCGTTCGCTCCTCCCACTCCTTCCTCCTCCTCCTCCTCCTCCTCCTCATCCCCTTCCTCTTCCTCCTCCTCCACTTCCTCCCCCTCCTCCTTAGCAGGACTAGCGAAGTGCAGCCCAGGGGCCATTACTCCCCTGGAGAAAAAGCCCTAACATCACCCAGCCCGCCCAACAATAGAGGGAACCTGTTATCCACCGCCGGGAGAGAGCAGGGGGGGTAACTGAATCTAAAAACAACACCTGGCTACACCGCAGCAACCATGTGCAAACGCAGCGCCTGTGTACACCACAATGCTTGCGTGCACCGCGGCGCCTGTGCACACCACAGCGCTGGTGTACACCACAGCGTTCGCGTGCAACTCAGCGCTGGTGTACCCCAGCGCCTGCGTGCATAGGACAGGTAGGCGGAGCATGTAGGTGAGAATCTGCTGCGGACAGCTAGACACCTCGCCAGGGAAGTGCTGGTAATAGAATGCGATGTCTTTCCCTGCTCCCTCCTCCTCCTTCTCTTCTTCCTGTTCCTCGTGTTCCTCGTGTTCCTCCTCCTTTTCCTCCTCCTCAATCTCCTCCTCCTCTTCCTCCCTCACCCTTCCCCCCGTCGTGCGGGTCGGCGCTACAGCGCACGTGCGCATCTCAGCGTGCACCGCAGAATGGTCTATTGAATCAATCCACTTGGTTCTCGGACGGTCAGTTACGTGGGAGCTTCCTGTACGCACATGGGCAAAATTTGCATGATGCGGAAGGACTCGGGAGGACTCGTAGATTCCGGCCGCGTTTTTGTTTTCCATCCGGATTCGTTTCCAAATCCCAGGCGCTCCATTTTGTCATGAAGATTCCGTCCAACGTTCTATATACAAAAAGTGTACTCTGTTGCGCAGGCGACGTGGTGTACACATGCGCTGTGGTGCGCAGGAACTGTGGTGTACATAAGCACTGTTGCGCAAATCGCCACCCACATGCTGCTGCTACGCGTCCTCGGTCATTCCTAGGCATTCCCGGACGCCGCCTGCGCGAAACGTGACGTCATCGGCCCCCTTCCCCCCCACCACCCCAAGATGACGGCCGTCATCGGCCTGGAATTAGAAAAAAACAGGCTCATGGCCCCAGAGGCCCTGACAAGCGGCTTCCATATCCAAATATCCGCGAACGCATTTACGGTTGACTCCTGGGTCTGCTCAGGCGGATCCCGATCTTCAGTTGGAAGGCTGCCCCCCGTCCTTTTCCACTGCTTGCTCCCACGCTTCCCTGACCAATGCAGGTCGCTTGGGCATCGCTGCTGGTTTGGCTGATGGAGCCCATTTCCTGTATTCTTTCCACCCCCACTCCCCCTCCCCCGTGGTCGCGTCACGATTCGTGCTGGCGCCGTCCAGGAATGAGCCGTTCCAAGACATTTCCAGAAGGCGCTGCCGCGAATCGCGACGTCCCCAGATCGCCAATGGGCAAGACATGTCTCGTTAGGACACGCGGGGCGTGAATCAAACATTACCCTGGCGACGTACCCAACCCCTGCGCAATGCGGGGCAGGAGTAGCTTGGGAGATTTGACGAGAAGGCGGCGACGTGACATGGACGAATCTACTTCTGCGAGCGGCATTCGGAAGGTTCGCAGGTCCCTAATCAAGGGAAATACGACGAGTAACTGAGTGAACGTCTGAGTCACCAAGGAAGACGCAAGGTCCAAAAGGAGACGGTGGGCACGGAGCTTGAAACGTCGGCGGGGCAGCAACAGCATGACATGGCCTCCCAGGGACGGCGAGCTACCGCTCAGGTCTGCGCGGTGCCTCTCTCCGCTGGACCCAGCAGCAGCCTTCGAACGTGGCGAGCCTACCAGCAACCCTCGAGAGTGACGACAATTTCGCAGATCGCAGCCCCCCAGGGATGGGGAGCTACCGCCCTCGAAAGTGGCGACAACCTCGCAGATCGCAGCCCCCCCAGGGACGGCGAGCTACCGCTCAGATCTGCGTGGGGCTTCACCCCGCTGGAAACACCAGCAGCCCTCGAAAGTGGCGACAATTTCGCAGATCGCAGCCCCCCCAGGGACGGCGAGCTACCGCTCAGATCTGCGCGGTGCCTCACTCCGCTGGACCCACCAGCAGCCCTCGACAGTGGCGACAATTTCGCAGATCGCAGCCCCCCAGGGACGGCGAGCTACCGCTCAGATCTGCGCGGTGCCTCACTCCGCTGGACCCACCAGCAGCCCTCGAAAGTGGCGACAATTTCGCAGATCGCAGCCCCCCAGGGACGGCGAGCTACCGCTCAGATCTGCGCGGTGCCTCACTCCGCTGGACCCACCAGCAGCCTTCGAAAGTGGCTACAATTTCGCAGATCGCAGCCCCCCAGGGACGGCGAGCTACCGCTCAGATCTGCGCGGTGCCTCACTCCGCTGGACCCACCAGCAGCCCTCGAAAGTGGCGACAATTTCGCAGATCGCAGCCCCCCCAGGGACGGCGAGCTACTGCTCAGATCCGCGCGGTGCCTCACTCCGCTGGACCCACCAGCAGCCCTCGAAAGTGGCGACAACCTCGCAGATCGCAGACCCCAGGGACGGCGAGCTACCGCTCAGATCTGCGCGGGGCCTCACCCCGCTGGACCCACCAACCGCCCTCGAAAGTGGCGACAATTTCGCAGATCGCTGCGCCCCAGGGACGGCGAGCTACTGCTCAGATCCGCGCGGTGCCTCACTCCGCTGGACCCACCAGCAGCCCTCGAAAGTGGTCACGGTTTCGCAGATCGCAGCCCCCCAGGGACGGCGAGCTACCGCTCAGATCTGCGCGGGGCCTCACTCCGCTGGACCCACCAGCAGCCCTCGAAAGTGGCGACGTTTTCGCAGATCGCAGCCCCCCAGGGACGGCGAACTACCGCTCAGATCTGCGCGGTGCCTCCTCCGCTGGACCCACCAGCAGCCCTCGAAAGTGGCGACAATTTCGCAGATCGCAGCCCCCCAGGGACGGCGAGCTACCGCTCAGATCTGTGCGGTGCCTCCACTGGACCCACCAGCAGCCCTCGAAAGTGGCGACAATTTCGCAGATCGCACCCCCCCCAGGGACGGCGAGCTACCGCTGAGATCTGCGCGGCCTCACTCCGCTGGACCCACCAGCAGCCCTCGAAAGTGGCGACAACGGTTTCGCAGATCGCAGCCCCCCTGGGACGGCAAGCTACCGCTCAGATCTGCGCGGTGCCTCACTCCGCTGGACCCACCAGCAGCCCTCGAAAGTGGCGACAACGGTTTCGCAGATCGCAGCCCCCAGGGACGGCGAGCTACCGCTCAGATCTGCGCGGGGCCTCACTCCGCTGGACCCACCAGCAGCCCTCGAAAGTGGCAACGGTTTCGCAGATCGCAGCCCCCCAGGGACGGCGAGCTACCGCTCAGATCTGCGCGGGGCCTCACTCCGCTGGACCCACCAGCAGCTCTCGAAATTGGCGACGTTTTGGCAGATCGCAGCCCCTCAGGCAAGGCAGGAGGAGACAAGAAGGAGGGAGGCGGGAGGCGGGAAGCAGGAGGCGGGAGGCGGGAGGAGGAGGAGGAGGAGGAGGAGGAGGAGGAGGAGGAGGACGCGACCACAGTGCTCTTTACAAAACGAACACCCACCCAAAGAGTGTTGGGGAAAATCGAAGTCGAGTCTGATGCTGGCGGGGTGCAGCTGTTGGGAACGCCGCGCGCTCGTCGCGAACCTGCGGCATCCGGTGCGTTCCAGCAACTCCTGGGAGATCTTCGCAAGTACGACCAAGAACTTACTGGGCACGATCAAAGGAGCAGCGAACAAGACTAGGATTAGGCAAAACTTGGCCTGGACGTAACCTGGATGATACGAGCCAGATGAAGCGGAATTCTGACGATTTAGGCCAGTTCTCCACCACACATATTGTTTCAGGACAGACGTAAAACACACATATATATGCATATAAAAACATATTTTCATATACACACATGTTTGTGCATGTACACATATATCGAATAGCGCCCCAGAGACAATGCTGTTCAACAACTTCCCAGGAGGTGCAGCCTACAGAAGGGGAGTGAGCGGGGGGGAGGAAGTGAGCGAGCGGGGGGAAGGAGCGGGGAGGAGGAGGAGGAGGAGGAGGAGGATGATGAGGAGGGAAAGGAGGACATTTAGTCGAACCCGCCAACCGTCGGCGGGGTCGTACTGCTGGGAATGCCGCGCACCCATCGCTGCGAAAAGGTTGGGGAAGCGCAGCCCATGGCGGAGGCTCAACACTAACTTCCAGGCCTGCTTTGAGGACTCTCGGCAGCCCCACTTCGATACGCAAGGTGGTTGACGCAGGGCTGAACCTAAAGGGTGTTTTTTGTTTTCGTTTTGTTTTCGTTTCACTCGCTTTTGTCTCGAATCCGCCTTTACCGCAGAACGAAGTCGAAACGAAAACGGTCCACGAAATCGCCAAAAACACCGTTTAGGTCCAACCCTGGGTCGACGGTGCGCGGTGCAGCGAGGTGGCGGGAGGATCGGCACTGCTCTGCAAGGGCCTCGGTCCAAAGAGCTCCCGCAGAAGCCAGACGGCCCCGGCGCCGTCGGGGATCTCGGGATCGCCGTCTCCTCCTTCACTGGTGGCGACAGTGCCTGCACTCGCTGATGGATTCCACACGTGGGCTTGCAAAGCAAACATCGGAGACTCCAATTAGTTGCACGGCTTGCGCAGCTTGCAATACCGGTAGCTCGTATTAGAGCACATCTGCTAATTCCTGCGGGGGGGCACTCCCCCACAAATTCAAAGGAAAACGGAAAGACTAGAGATTGGGCAGAAGCTCGAGGAACCATCATCGTGACCCCTGCGAGCGTGCTCTAATTCACGACCGAAGGAAGGCGCAGCGTTCATCAGGAACGCGGCCTGGAAACCCGACGCGGCACCTCCATGTTGCATGGCGCAGGTCGGTCCCTCTTGGGCCACTCGTGGGTGCACTGACGGCGGAGCTCGAGGCTCCGGAGGTACCTCCGAATACAGCGCGCGCGCACGGAAGCCGCGGGGTTCGCAACCTCGAGCCTCGAGGCGAGTGCCCTGGCGAGCTCTGCCGACGCTCGCGCCCTGGGGCAGACCACGCCCGGGCGACCTCGAGGCCGCGCCGCTCCCCGCCCAGAGCGCGCGGGCCCGGGCCAAACCGCGCCGCTGCCACGCCGCTGCCAGGCCATGGGCCTGCGCGAGGGCCGCCCCGCGCGCCCTACGACGTGCGCATGCCCTGCAGGACGACGGTGATCAGGGGCATCGAGCCGGTCACTCCCGACAGGATCATCACCGGCAGCCCGAAGTCGATGACGTAGCGCAGCATCCACGCGCGGCTGCGCCACCAGACGTTGAGGCTGGCCCACCACCTGACCCAGGGCTCGGCCTCAAAGCTGTTTTGGCGACTTCGTGGGCCGTTCTCGTTTCGGCTTCGATTTGCAGCACAGGCGGATTGGAGACTAAACGAGGGAAACGAAAACAAAACGAAAACGACAAGCACGATTCTGGTCGAGCCCAAACCTGACAAACGTGCGGCTCTCGTCCTTGGCGAGGGCGTCGATGCTCTTCTCGAGGCCCCAGAAGTTGCAAAGGGGCTCCCAGACAGTGATGGCCATCAGGGCCATCATCCAGCAGGCGCAGATCTGGCATTGCCTCTCGAACTTGTCCTGCACCTCGTGGAAGAGGTCGTAGCGCGTCGCCATCACTGCAGTGAAGGCGATGCAGAAGAAGAGCATCACCCAAATAAAAGTTACCCAGATCGTCGCGATGCGGATGACATCCGAGCCATGGTCGCTGGAGCTCCAGAACGACTTGTCGCTCCCCCGCGAGTAGATGCCCCAGGCAGCCAGCGTGCCCTGGACGATCGACATGACGTACAATGGCGCGGAGATCATGTACGACTGCTGGCCGCGCCAGATGGAAAGCTCATTGCTCTCGCCGAGGTTCTTGTAAAAGCTCAGCATGCCGTGCTCCGCTATCCTGATGGAGAGCACGTAGAGCGCAAAGTGGCTCACGTTGAACATCAGCGGCGGCGTGGAGCTGATCACCATGAAGACGGTCAGGGCAAGCCAGAAGAAGGTGCCCAGGGACGTCCAGAAGTAGGTGATGTTCTCTGTCATGATGAAGATGCGGACGATCTTCGGCATGACGCCGGACATGGAGAGGTAGATCGTGACGAAAACCAGCACGCAGCATATCACGAGCCACGTCAGGGTGATGTTCGGAGGAAGGCCAAGTGAGACAACGACGATTCTCCCGCCCGGCCCAACTCCGCTCACAATGGACCCCTGGACCCCTGACAGGGCCCGTCCTGACCCGTTTGCCAGCGCAGATCCAGCCGTGGCGACGAGAAGCCTCCACGAGGCCCAGAGAGAGCCAGAGCCGCCAGAGAGCGCCGCCGCCGTCTCGGCCGGCTCTCTTCCGAGATGTCGATCATCAACATGTACTGCTGCTCGGCCATCTTGTAGACCACCCTGTCGATGTTGTGCCCCAGGAACACCGAAAACCCGTGGTAGATGGCCCGGCAGATCTCGCTGTCCGGCCCGAGCATGACGGTCGACTCGCCCTGGGCGTCGCAGAAGATGTTGTAGCCGAGGTAGGGCTTGGTCCACGAACCTGGAGGAAGAAACAACTGCAGGCGCCAAGTGCGTGTCGTCTCGACCCGGGCATGGGTTCTTGACACCGCGGGGATCGTTCAACATTGAACGATCGACAGTTTCCGAGACGTCAAATCGTTCAAAGAAGACTGACTCTGGGTCGCCAGCGGCGTCCAACATTGAGCGCAGGCGGCGGGGTCGCCGCCGGTCGACACGACGCAAACCTACCGTACGTAGGCTAGGGTTAGGTCGGGCATGTCCTCCTACAGGCGGATTTTGAATGCTCCCAAACACCGAAAGAGAATGAACAAAAGCATCCCCAGACTACTTTTGGACTGTTTTTGAGCACTCCTCCTGTAGAGGGACAGGCCCGACTTAAAACGAGGGCGACGAGACCTGTACATCAGGGCTGAACCTCAACGGTGTTTTGCGTTTTCGTTCTGTTGTCGTTGTCCCTCGCTCTGCCTTCACTCCGCCTTTCACGCGAAACGAAGTCGAAACAACAACGGCCCACGAAATCGCCACAACACCGTTCGGGTCCAGCCCTGCTGTGCATGCCCCCTGCCCCTGGCCCAGGCCCAGGCCGCTACCGGGAGCGGCGCGCACGCGCCCGCCTGGCTTGGGCCCGGGAGGCGTGCGCACCGCTCCTGGGTGCAGGGCGGGCCCTGGCCTGGCCAGGGGCAGCGGACGTGCACGGGTGCGTGCAGGTCTCGTCGCCCTCGAACACACAAAGCTTCGAGATGGGCTGTCACAGAAAAGACAAATACACCCAAAGACAAGCAGACAAACAAACCAACTGGTTGCCACAATACAAAAAAAAACGCAAGGCCGCCGGTAGCTTGTGAGTGACAGCCGGCTGTCTTGTGTTCTTTTTTGTTCTTGCCACGACCGGTTTTTGTGTGACAACCGTTATATCATTGTGACAGCTGGTGTGTGTATTGTAACAAAAAGTAGATCTCGTCGCACTGGAAACCTAAACCTTCGAGCTCCAAAAGTTCGGGTGCACGTCGTCTCTCCTTCCTCGGGAACCGTACAGCAGCCAGAAGTGGAAGCCAAGATAGGCCAGGCAGCACCTGGGGAAGCAGGCGTAAGAACACCTGTGCCTGCACCTGGGAGGTGGGAGGAGGGAGGAGGAGGAGGAGGAGGAGGAGGAGGAGGAGGAGGAGGAGGAGGAGGAGGGGGAGGAGGAGGGGGGAGGAGGAGGAGGGGGGAGAGGAGGAGGAGGAGGAGGAGGAGGGGGAGGAGGAGGAGGAGGAGGAGGAGGAGGAGGAGGAGGAGGAGGAGGAGGAGGAGGATCAGGGGCGCGTCCCGTCCAGCACTCCGAGGCGAATTGCAGGCCGTGGCGACCACGGCATCGTTCCCTTTATCTTTCCGTGAGCGCACCAGCCGAAGAGCACGAGCTGCCAGGTCCTGTCCCGTCCAGGACTTCGAGGCGAGTGCAGGCCGTGGCGACAACGGTCTCGCTCCTTTCTTTCCGTGAGAGCGCCAGCCGAAGAGCACGAGCTGCCAAGTCCTGTCCTGTCCAGGACTTCGAGGCGAATGCAGGCCGTGGCGACAGCGGCCTCGCTCCTTTCTTTCCGTGAGAGCGCCAGCCGAAGAGCACGGGCTGCCAGGTCCTATCCACGACAAGGACTTCGAGGCGAATGCAGGCCGTGGCGACAGCGGCATCGTTCCTCTCTTTTCAGTGAGGGCACCAGCCGAAGAGCACGAGCTGCCACGTCCTGTCCACGAAGAGCTGGACCCAGAACAGCTGCACGGCGCCCTCGGCCCAGCGCTGCACGGCGCCGAGGTAGTCCGCGTTCACCTTGGCGATGCCGGTGCACACGGTCTCGTGCACGTACACGCTGCGCTTGCCCCTGCAGAAGTGCTGGTGCGTGGTCGCCGTGTCCTCGATCTTTGTGCGCGACTCAAAATACTCGTCCAGCACCTGGTCGTCCAACTGCCGGCTGAAGTCGGCCGCGTCGACCTGCCAGACCGCGTTAGTGCCGCAAGACGTGACACCGCCGCAACGATTTCGGATGACGTTCATGATGTTGAAGGCCGCGCCGTTAAGGATGTCCAGCACGTCGCTCTCCGCCGACAGGCCAGCGAAGTGCTGGGGCGCCTGGACCATGGCGATGTTGCGGTTTGCCTCGTAGGTGAACCCGACGTCACTGTTCTGCATGAACTTGGGCAACACCATGCGCCAGAAGTCGGAGTGGGCCAAGTGGCGGGCGTCGAAAATGCCGAACAACATGCGCTGGGGGATGGGGTCCTGCTCCGCGCCCGTGCCGATGAAGCCGTCCCGGAACTGCAGCATGTCGACCGCGAAATTCAGGCCCCCGCCCTTGCCCCGCACGCCGATGTACGGCATCAGCAGGCGCTTCTTCACGAGCACGGTGGGGTGGCTGTCCATGAGACGCCCCTGGAACTTCCCAACCATCAGATTGCCATCGACGCGATCACGGATCTCTTCGATCACCGCTGCGGGCCCAGTGACGTCCGCGAAGATGTCCATGCCCTGGTGCGTCTGCGCGATCTGCACGCGGGACACGTCCTGGTTCGGGTCGCGGAGCAGCTTGCCGAGCTCGTGGCGAAGGGCCTTGGCGAAGGCCTGGGACTTGTACTCGCAGTCGTCCTCGAGGGGGGAGAACACGAACTCCAGGCTGTGCTTGGTCGAGTACGCGACGCGCACCACGTCGCGAGTCATGCACCAGCTGGTCTCCTTCTATTTTTGGATATATATATATATGTATGCATACACACATATATATACATATGCATATGTAGATGTATATGTATATATAGAGGTATATGTATTCATATATACATGTATATGCATGTGTATATACAAGTTACCAGCTGATCTCCTTCGTGTTCTGCAGCGCCACCAGGCCCATGCCCTTGGAGGCCTCGCCGCCGCCGCCCGCCGCGTCGCTGCTGACGAGCTCCAGCAGCGCGGGCGAGGGGTTGTCGAGGATGAGCACCTCCTCGTTGTCTAGGTCCACGTCTTCCCCGACGATCTCGCCGTAGCAGAAGCGGCCCATCTCCCAGTCGGACTCCACGCGGCGGTACTTCAGGTACGCCTCCGCGAGCTCCCGATGACCGCGAATGCCCTTCTTGGCGCCGTTGCTGCCGCCGCCGTTAGACTCGCCGAGGGCCTCCAGGAACTTAACCTGCTGCCGCTCCACCACGCCGTGAACCATCTTGCGGACCTCGCCAAACCTGTCCGGCACGCCCCCCTCCGTCTTGAGCAAGGGCTGCTTCTCGCCGTCCGTCTGGCGCCTGCGCCTGTAAGGGGCAACGATAGGGGGGGGGGATCGGCATTGCCGGCATAGGGGGGAAACATCGACCTGGAATGGGAAACACATCGCCGATAGACCGGCGATAGGCCCCCGATAGCGAGTCCGCATGGCCCTGGACCATGCAGATTCGCTGCATCGGCTATCAATGGGGCTGTCGGGCCTTGTCGGCGATCAATGGGCGATTGGGGGACGATGCGTCCCCTCCTGTGCCTATCCACCCCCCCCCCGATCGCTGCCCCGGAGCCTGAACTCCCGACGCGTGCCGCCCTCGCCGGTGTACGGCTGCACGGCGCTGGGCCTGAGGCAGGCCCACAAGTACTTGTCGAGGTTGCGGGTCCTCTCGATGCCCCGGCGTTCACCCTCGGGCTTGGCGCGGGCCATGTAGATCATGATCACCTTGCGGTCACGGTGTGCCAAGGGCTCGCGGAACAGCAGCGGGAACCTGGACTCGGCGGCGTCGCCCTTGAGGGTCTCGTAGTCCACACTCTGCCCCTTCTTGTCCGACACCACCAGGAGCTTCTTGTACGCATCGACGGACCTGATGTGGGTGGCTGACTGGGCGCGTTCCCTGATCTTCGCCTCGGCCTCCTCCTTCCAGTTCTTGCTGTACTTGACGGTGAAGAAGCTGGAGCGGTTCCTCTGGTTGTCCGACTGCAGGCCCAGGCGTACCTCGCGCGTCAGGACGCAGTCGTCCTTTCGGGCCGGGCGAAAGGGGGGGATAGCAAAAGGGGGTTTCAGAATCAGCTCACGTAGCTGATTTTCCCGGCACCTCCTGGCGCCAGAGGCGGCTATTTATCGAGGAACGGGCCCCTCGGTGGGGCCGAAAACAGCTGCACGCATCAGATTTCGTAACCCCCCCTTTGCCCAATCCCCCCCTTCCGTACGGCCCGATCCTTCTTGCTGAGGGAGGGCTCCATCTTCAGGTTGCTGGGGAGCTGCTTGTACATCTCGGCAAGGTCTTGCAGCCGCGCGAGCGAGTCCTGCCGGCCGTGGACAAACCTCCCTTCAGTAAACCTCCCCCTCGTGACAACGGCCTATAGGACCGAAGCCGACAAAACCTGGACCCGCAGAAATGACGCCCGCGACGCCCTCACGCGAGCCGAAAACGGCCAATTCTCTACTCGACGTGTCAGGGTAGGAGGTCCGTCCACCTCCGATCCTGCTGCAGCTCCACGCCGCCCTCCGGCACCTCCTCGCCCGCGGTCCTCACGAAGGACACGGCCTGGTGGGCCACCACGGGGAGCACCTTGCGCAGCTTGCCATCCTCGGGGATTCGAGGAGCCACAGAACAGTAGGCACGAGCATCAGTTCTCGGAAGTCCACGGGGGCTTCTTGGATCGGCGCTGGACCCCCTCTTCCTTACGCGCGGAGCGCGCCAGGGCCGGCGCCAGCTGCGCCGCCAGGGGGTCCAGCGCAAATCCAAGAAATCCGCGCGGAGGTCATAGAAATGATCCTTCTTGCCGTGGTTGCTCTTCGATACACCCTGGACCTCTCCCGGGGTGAGTTCTGATCCGGAGCTCGTGGCGAACCCAGCCGTGGCAACAGGGGCCTCGGGAAGCACGCAAGACGCTAAGAAGCGACGGAGAGCTCGATCTTTCACAAAAGCCAGTTTCAAATCTGTCCCTGGCACCTTCCCAGGATCTGCGGTCAGGAAAGTTTGCTACGTGTGTCGCAGCGGCGGCCCAGGCTACACGCCATGCCCTGCAAGTGGATAGCGCGTCGCTCCGTTCCACGGGGCGAGCGGATGGGAACAGCTCGAAACGATTACGCTTGGAAGTGGGGGCGTGGATAACGTGTCGCGCTGCAGCGTGGTAGGCCAGAACTGGCGAAGCGACAGGGACTGCGTCCAGACGTGGCGACGGCAACCTCCCCAGACGCCAGCAAAACCTGCGAATCGAAGGCGTCGACGCCGACGTCGTCGGTACCTGTATCTGGGGGGGCAGAAGATACCCGCACCGCTACTGCGCGGACCTCTCCTGGGATGCGGCCTGACAGCGATTTCAAGGCGAATCCAGTCATGGCGACGCCGGAAGGGCAGCGGCATCGGTACCTCTGCCTCCTCTGAATATGTCTTCCTCCCCTGAGTCCTGCCATGCGATGTCGAAGGGCGACCTCGAGTGCGCCTGCTCCCAGGACATGTCCCGGAGGTTGCTCGACCACTCCTGGGAGAGGCTCGGACTATGCACCTATTTCTACCAGCGGATGGGAGCCCAGTGGCAGAGCGCAGGGGGACGACACGACGCGACGACGAAAACAAAGGACGACAGACGAACGACAAGCGCGCGGGGCGGGGAAGGGGGAGGGAAGATGGGGAGGTGGGAGGGCTCGGAGTGTGCACAGAGTCATCCAGTCGTCCAAGGAGCTCTGCGTTAGACGCCCCAGCTTCCCTGGTTGTGGGACGCCGGAGCGTGTATACACCGAAAGCCTTCGCCGAATTCCTGTGCTCCTTGGCCGGTCCAAGGACGTGCTGTATACATATACATATATATATATATATACACATACATACATACATACATATGTATAACACCTGTAATATTCAATGTGTATACATGGAATATGTGAGTGTCTATGGTGTGTATACATATAGATATACACTCATATATATCTATACATATACATATACATTTACATACACACACATGTATGTATGTGTATATATATGTATATATGTATATATCGGGCCACGCCGAACTCCTCCAGGAAGGCCAGCGGCGGGCTGGTGTCCAGGAAGTCCGACCAGGCGAGCCAGAGGAGCCGAGCGCCCTCGCGGTGGCCCTCGTCCGCGAAGATGTCGACCCACCTGAGACCCCGGGCGGGGCGAGGACAAACCGTTCGGTGGCAACTCCATGGGCGCCTCCCATGCCATCTTGTCGGCTCTTGCGAATCGACGCTGATCGACGCTAGATGGACACTTGTGCGACGCTAAATCGACACTTTTGAGATCCGTGCGAAGCCCAGTGGCGGAGGCAGGGGGAGAGAGGAGGAAGGGGAGGGGGAGGAAACGGGCCACGGGCGCCGACGCGCCAAGCGGCCAGCGGCCGCTAAATCGACATGAATCGACGCTTGTCAAGATGACATCGGCGCTGTCACATCGATTCCCAGACGCTCATCGACGCTCGTCGATGCTAAAGACGGGGTTAAGAGGGAACACCAGGCTCCCATGATTTGCCACCGAAGAACTGGGACCTAGAGGAGAGACTCGGAGGAGGGCCAACTCCAGACAACCGCGGTCCTCCCTGACGTTTCTTTTGTTTTCATCCTTGTTGCGGGGCTCCCTGGAGGCCTCTCGCCGCCAGAGCTGGATCCGCCCCGGATCAGGACGGACCCCAAGGGGGGGCCCGAGGACCGATCTCGAGCGGGTGTGGGCCGGGCGGGAGAGCTGCCGTGGTCTCAAAGGGGGCCCTCCTCCGAGAGAGGTCGGGGAGGTCCCCGGGAGCCGGCGGGTCGGGGGGGGGGCGTCCGCTGCAGAGCGCCCGGCAGCGCCCCGGGGGGAAGCTCCACAGGACGCCCTCGAACGATATTATCTCCGCTTAGCTGCCCCGATACGCAACACGCAGCACGTAGCGTGCTGGTACGGAGCTCAACGCGTGGACTGAAAACGTAGGTCCGATGCGATGCTTTCGCCAAAACGTGGTCCAATACGTGGAGCCCACACGCAACGTATCGACACGGACGTCTTGAACACGGGACGTGTTGCGTTTCAAAACGGGAGTATCGAGGCAATTTTGTATCTCCGTCGTGTGTTCTAAGCAGCACCTCCTGAACGTGGGGAACGCCGCGTCGTCGAACTCTGGCCGCGACGCGATCTTCCCGACCCAGTTGCGGAAGACGATCATCTTGTCCTCCCCAGCGGAGACACCGAACGCCACGGCGCAGCCATACTTCTCCAGTACGTAGCCGTGCGTCTTGATCTCGTCCCACGTGTGCATGGGGTAGAAGTCTGTGAAGTTTCCCGGGAACTTGCTCAGAAGCGTGGCCAAGTAGGATATCGTCACGAAGAAGACGAAGCCGAAGAAGAAGAACGCCGCGGCCGGGGACTTTGTGGTCGCCGACTTGCGCGGCTCGATTGGGGACACCTGCAGCCCGAAAGAGTTCGCCGATGCCTCTGCTCCCTGGACCTGTCCAGAGGCCTGCTTTGACCAGGAACTCGGGGCGAATCCAGCCGGGGCGACGAGGGGCCTTCGGAGGCACGACAGAGGCGAAGAGAAACGAGGGAGGAACCGGCATCAGAATGTCCCACCTGTCGCCAGGGGCTCTCTGCACCACGTCCCTGGCCCTCCCTTGGGGCTGATCCTGGCCAAGCTCTCCAGCTGCGACCAGCCGTGGTGACGTCGCAGCATCAGCTTACGTGAGCCCTACCCTGTCGCAACTCTGTTTTTTTGTTCAGTTGTTTTTCATGCTGCCGCCGTTCGTCCTTACCAGCTTGCTGAAAACCCAATAAAATCGAATGCCTGGTCAGAACTGATGATGATTGAATACCTGTTTCCAGTTTAGCCATCCTCCCCCGAGCACCAGCGACTCCATCGGAATGCTCACGGACGCGTAGGGGGAGTCGTCGGCGAGCCCCAGCCTGCGCTCCCGCTGCAGCGGGCAGTACTTCAGCGCGTCCTCGTCCAGCGTCTCGCCCGAGCCGCACGCCGCCCCGCAGATGCCGCCCACTGCGAGGCAGCGGTCGTTGAAGGGTGGGCCCGCGGTGTCCATCATCTCCCCGCTCGTGAAGACGGGCTTCGCGGTCATGCAGGCAACCATGTAGGTGAAGCCCGGCTGCGTGTAACACGACTCCCGGGCGGGGCGGATGCGCATGGTGTTGGAGCTGTGGTCCTTGAAGACACCCATGGTCAAATTGGGCGTGGACGCGATGTGCCACGCGTACTTGGCGCTGCCGTCCAGCCGGCGGCCCTTGGATTTCGAGTGGTGATGGCCACCGTGATGCGAGGCCAACTCAATCGTCTCTTCCTCCTCGCCGCCGCCGCCGATGACGTTGGACATCTTGGCCTTGGAGTCGACCACTTCGGACATGGCGAACACGACGGTGTAGTAGTCGCCTGTCATGGAGTCCTCGCTGCCCACGACGAAGTCGTTGGGGTTCTCGGCCTCGACGTACATGCCCTTGAAGTGCAGCCCCGTCTTGCACCCATGCTCCTCGCAGTAGACCAGGGAGTTGGCGGCGCCTCCGCCTAGGGACGTCTTGATGTTGACCCTCTTGCGGGTGAGCCCCTGGAAGAGCTCGGGGTCGAGCTCGCCGTTCGAGCAGTGCCCCGACGCCGGCGAGTAGTACCCGCAAGCCTGGCCGCAGGCGGAGCCGAGCGCGTAGCACTGGCCCAGCGCCTCGCGCGGCGTCTGCACGCACGACATGGTGTCCTCCGTGATGCAGTTCTGGGCGTAGTGGGTGAGCACCTGTACGCAGACGACGTCTGTACACCACAACCGCGCCAAACCAAGGCTGTCCTGGGACTTGGCACGCTGGGTAAGCCCTCGGGGCCGAGGCCAGGAAGGGCGAATCATCTACATACGCACGTCTGTTAGCCAGCGCGGGCTCCAAACCATGCGTTTCAAAAAAGCATTTCGGCGCAATATATGTTGTGCAATATGCGTGGTGCAACACATGCGGTACAACCGATGTGGTGCAATTCTATTTTGTTCGCTGTGAAATGTCAATCCCGCTGCTCGCGCAACCTATCCCCCCACCCAACCACCCACTCACCCACCCACAACTTGGTTTGCAAAACCCATGCGGCGGCGACTGCGATGTCTGCTTTGCGCTGGCTGGTGCGTCGCTGCGACAACGCTAGCGCGCGCGCAAAGCGGCCAGCTAGTCTGGCGCGACCGACGCGGCCGCGGTGGCGGTGACCGCTGGGGACTTCCCAACCTGTCTCGCAGGCCGCGCTGACTCGCGGGCACTTTAATGCGAGTCGGTGACTCGGGCGAGCGCGGTAATTATAATGGCGACGTCGACCACGGCAGACACGATGATGATATTAACGATGCTGGCGGCGATGATGACGATGACGATGACGACGCCAAGGCCAATGACGGTGCCGATGCTGATAACACCAATGACGATGATTGGACCATGTGTCGGCTATAAACAATTTTCGGGGGAATTCGACATGCGCGCGCGGCCGACGGGCGCGAGTGGTCCGAATGGTATTATTTGACGGGGTCGTGCCCCCCAAACAAGCGCGCAAAGGCGTTCGAATGATTTCGACATGCGCGCGCTAGAAGTCCGACTGGTCGCATCTGGTAAACATCGTGAATCAACCTATGGTTATCGTGGGGATTCCACCAGGCCTCTGGGCGCAGGTGGTCTACGGAATTTTCTCTTCCAACCCCCCCTCTTCCCCGTCGGGACATTCGGTTTTGAAATCGCTGCGGAGCCGGAAATTGTCCAATCATTTTGACATGCGCGTGCGACGACCCGCGCGCGTGCACGTCGTGCTATTTGTTGCAAATGATTCTCGCGACGGCACGCGCGCAATGGCGCTCGAACGATTTCGATATGAGCGAGCGAAACCCGTTGGGTAGTTTTTTCTGCAAAGACAAAATGCTGGAAACAAACACTGTGGCTTTCCCAAGAATTCGCAAGAGCGCGCGCGCGCACGCTTTTTGAAAATCCGCGTTGCGAAACCCTGTGTTTAATTTGTTGGGGGGCACTCGACCTTGAAATCCTTGCGAAACCGACGGTTTTAGAAGGATTTCGGCACGCGCGCGCGACGACGCGCGCGTGTTTCTTTTTTCTGCAACGGATTCTTGAAAACTACGAGCGATTAGTTTCTTGCAGAGGATGACTGGATGACGGGGGGGGTCGATACCGTCTGGACACGGGTGGTACGAATTCATATTTAGGATGGACGATGGGGCAGAATCATATCTAAATTGCAATCCGAAAAAGGGGGTCGATAACCCCGGGGGTATTAAAATCTATTCTCCGATGAGGAAAAGAGAATTGAATTGAAGAAACGAGCTGACACATCCCATGCGCTTGCAAACATCCCACCCACACCCCCGTAACTTGGCTTGCAAAACCCACGCGGTGACGATTGCGATGAATGCTTGGCGTTCGCTGGTCCATCTGTGCGGCCGCGCCAACCCAAGCGCGCGCGGAGCGGCCAGCTAGTTTGGCGCGACCGACGCGGCCGCAGTGGCGCTGACCGCTGGGCACATCCCAGCTGGCCTTTCACTGCGGGTCAGCGACTTGGGCGGGCGCGGTATTATGGCAACGTCGACAACGGTATACGTGATGATGATAGTAGCGATGCTGATGACGATGTTGGCAACGACGACAACGCGGCCAGAACGGGCGCCGATGCTGATTACCCCGGCGACGATGACGGCGTCCTCGCGTCGGCGATGAAAGTTTTGGAACAAATTCGGCGTGCGCGCGCGGCCGACGCGCGAGAGTGCCCGGCATGAGATTGTTTGACACGGATCGTGTCCCCCCCAGCACGCGCGCAAAGGCGTGCGAATGATGCCGGCATGCGGCACCAGAGGCCCGCTTGGCAGAATCTCATGGATATGTTCAAAAACCTGCTGTTTTCTCAAGAATGCGCAAGAGCGCAACACATGCATTTTTTGAAAACTGGTGTTGCGAAACCATGTGTCTTTGTATGTTTTTCACACATTTGGTTTTGAAATCGCTACACAAAGAAAAACATTGACGGGTGTCGGCATGCGCGCGCGACGACGCGCGCGTGCACTTCGTCCTACTTGTTGCAAAGGGTTCTTGCGACGGCACGCGCGCAAAAACGTTCGAACGATTTCGGGGGGGAAAAAAAAAACGCAAGGGAACGCGCGCAAGTTGTTATTGAACATCCGTGTTGAGAGAGCCTATATCGTTTGACATTTGTTGAACGATCGATTCCAAAATCCTTGCGACATCGAATTTGAAGGATTCTGGCATGCGCGTGCGACGACGCGCGTGTGCATTTCGTCTCGACTGTTGCACGGGATTTTTGAAAGAACTACTGAATTGTGATAAAAGACTGCGCGCGCAGTATTTTCTGGCAGAGGATGACAGGGGGGGAGTCGATACCAGTTGGGCATGGGTGGTACGAAATCATGTTTAGGATGGGCGATGCGGCAGAATCCGATCCAAATTGCAACCCGAGAAGGGGGTCGATCATCCAGGGGGGGTTGACTCTATTTTCTCTTTGGAGAAAAGGAACAAACAGAGAACTGGTTTTAACAAACGAGATGACCCATCCCATGCTCTTGCAAACATTTCACCCACCCACCCGCAAATGGGTTTGCAAAAGTCATGTGGTGGCGATTGAGATGAGTGCGTGGCGTTAGCAGGTCCATTTTTGCGGCCGCGCCAACCCAAGCACGCACGCGCAGCGGTCAGCTCGTTTGGCGCGACCGACGCGGCCGCGGTGGCGTTGACCGCTGGGCACACATCCCAGCGCGCACTTCAGCGCGAGTCGGTGATTTGGGCGGGCGCGGTATCATGCTGATAACGGTAGACACGATGATGTTAGTAGCGATGCTGGTGACGATGTTGATTGACAACGCCGACGGAAAAGGCCAGACAGGGCGCCGATGCTGATCACACCGACGACGATGACGGCGCCATCGCGTCGGTGATGAAGGCTTTGAAAAGAGAGTTCGACGTGCGCGCGCGGCCGACGCGCGAGAGTGCCCCGCATGGTCTCACTTGACACGCATCATCCCCCCCCACCCTAGCACGCGCGCAAGGGCGTGCGAATGATTTCGGCATGCGGTGCCGGAGACCTCTTGGGGCAAATGCCATGAATATGTTGGAAAGCCGATGATCCTTTTCAGGATTCGCAAGAGCGCGAGCGCACGTTTTTGGGGAACCTGATGTTGCGAACCCATATATTCATATATTTTTTGGAGACTCGACTTTGAAACCCTTACGACCGCATATGTTTTTGACGGATTTCGGCATGCGCCCGCGACGACGCGCGCGCGTGCACATCGTCCTACTTTGTGCAAGCGGTTCTCGCGACGGCACGCGCACAAGGGCGTTCGAACGATTTCGACGTGCGCGCGCGCGAAGCCCGTTCGATAGCATGGTCTGAGAAAGGATTAAACCACCAATGGTTTTTCAAGATTTCGCAGAAACGCGCAAATTTGCCTTTGACATCCGTGTTGCGAAACCCTGTGTTTTACATTTGGTTTGGACAGTCGATTTTGAAATCCCTCCCGAAACCGGCTGGTTTGGAAGAACTTCGCCATGCGCGCGCGACGACGCGCGCGTTTGCACTTCGTCTCGTTTTTGTATAAGGGTTTCTCGAAAAGTACTGATTTGTGATAAACGAGTGCGCGCGCATAATATATTGCAAAGGATGGCGGGGGGGGGGTCGATGCCGGCTCGGCTGGGGTGGTACGAAGTCATATTCAGGATGGACGGTGGGGCAGAATCGCATGTAAATTGCAATACGAAAAGGAAAGCGGATAATTCTGGCCTCGGGAGGGTGGAGGAGTCTATTTCTGTAGAAGGGAGAACGTGTGTTGTACAGTCTAGGAGAGCAACCTATGTGGCGGCGACGAGGCGGCGACGGGGAGATGATGATGATGATGATGATGATGATGATGATGATGATGATGATGATGATGATGATGATGATGATCATCATCATCATCATCATCATCATCATCATCATCATCATCATCATCATCATCATCATCATTATCATCATCATCATCATCATCACATCATCACCATCACCATCATCATCATCATCATCATCATCATCATCATCATCATCATCATCATCATCATCATCATCCTCATCCTCATCCTCATCTCATCCTCATCCTCATCCTCATCATCATCCTCATCCTCATCCTCATCCTCATCCTCATCATCATCATCATCATCATCATCATCATCATCATCATCATCATCATCATGGGGCCCAGGATGGCCCTAGCCAAGCATGGCGGTGATGTGTAGATGCCTCCTGCGGAACCTTGTTCACCTTCCCGAAGCCCTGCATGACGCACGCCACCAGATTCACGGCCCCGTGCTGGGAGATGTGCTCCACCAGCTTCCACTTGTCCGCGACCGCGCCCCCCTGGCACTCTGAAGCGTAGTAGCTTGGCGAGTGATGCGCGGTAGCGTTTCTGCAAGTCTTCTAGCTCCCTGGGTGGGTCGACGCCTCGCTGGGGCTCGCCAGGGCGCTCCAAGGCGCCCAAGACGTCCCAGGAAGGCCTCTGAGGCTGCCACGCAGGTTCTTCCTTGCCTCAAGGCGCACCAAACAGCCGCGTATAAGCGCCTTCTGGGTCTCAAGAGGTCTCCAACGGGCCCCAGGACACCCCCAAGACGCTCTCCAGAGGGCCCTCGAGAAGCCAAACTCACGCATTTCATGTTTGATTTCCCATGTGCTTCGCTTTCCACGCTCTTCGGTCGAGAATCGATCCACTTGCTGTCTGCGAGGGCCCAATCGGGCCTAGTTTGCCCAGGAGGGCCCCCGGAAGGCTCTAAGCTGTCCCAGGAGGGCGCCCAGAGGGACCCAAAACGGCGCAAGGGGGCCCCTGAGCCGAAGTTGGCCCCCAGAGGGCCGCAAGACGGCCAAAAGGCTCCCAAGGGCCCAAGGGACCCCCAAGACTGCACCACAGGTGCCAAAGACAGCCCCAAGACGGCGCAAATAGTCTTAGGTCGGGCATGTCCTCCTGCAGGCGGATTCTGGACGACAAATAGAACATAGACAACAAATGCACGAAAATAGCCAAACATCGTCGAAAAATCAATTACCAAAACTATGGTCTTGCTGTTGTTGAATCTTCCTCCTGTAAAAAGGACATAGGAACAAGGAGAGGCGGTACTAATACCACACCACCAGGGCGAAGAGATGCGAGGAGGCAAGGGGGATGTCCCTGGTGGTGTGGTCCCCCCTCTACATCCCCAGCCTCCAGCTCGGGGAGGCATCGTGGACCCCCTCGCTGGAGGTGGGCCCCCTGGTGGTGTTGGTATATTCTCTCCTCCCTCCGAGGACAACAGGCCCGACTTCACGAATATCGGCGGTGGACAAACCTCCCTTTAGTAAACCTCCCCTTAGTGAAAGCGGCCTGGGACCGAAACCGACGGACCTGGGCCCGCAAAGATGACGGCCGCGACGCCCTCTCGCGGGCTGAAAACGGCCGATTCCTCAATCGACGTGTCAGGGTAGGAGCTCTGTCCACCTCCGAATATCATCCCCGTGGGGGCGGGAGGCGTCGCACGGGGTGACGGCCTCCCGGGCGGTGCTCGGCGCCTGCGCGCCTCGCGCGGGCAGGGCGGCGGAGCGGCCGCAGGCACGCGGGCTACTGGCGGGCCTTGCCCGCGGAGGCGAAGAACCTCGCGGTCGGCCGAGAGGGGGCGCGCCCAAGAGGGCAGTCGTCCGGAGTTGCGTTTCCCAGAACTGAAAATTATGGGAAACGCCATTCCGGCTCACTGAGAACGGTTTTTTTAAAGGAAATTGCGCTTCCCAGTAGTCGCAGGGAAGCGCCAATTCTGGGAAAAACAAGCCTGGCCCGCGCCATGATCTCCCCTCCTCCTCCCCCTAGTCATCACGCCTCTCTTTGCCGCCGCCGAGAACCACATGAAGGGGTCGGTGGTGCCGGTCTCGTTGTCGACGCAGCCGAACGGCTTCAGCTTGGCGATCAGCAGGGGAGGGCTGATGTGTGTGGTCTGCTTGGTCTCCTTCTTCGTGATCTCTTCCTCCGTGTGGTCGCCAGACACGTCGTCCGCGTCCGCGACGACCCGCCAGTTCTTGAAGTCGTTCGACGCGAGGATGACGGGGTACATGGTGCTGACGGGCTGCTCACGGGTCTGTGCCACGAGATCCGCGTAGGACATGCGGAGCATGATGTCCCACTGATACATGCCCATCTTGTGGTACTGGTCCTCGTAGCAGGGCTTGCAGTGGTTGACGCCCGCCTCCATCGTCTGAGGGGGGTTGCTCATGTTCACGCTGGCGACCTTCCCCTGGAGCGTCTGCAGCGGCACCGGATGGAAGGGCATGTTGTTGAACGTCGATGGCGCGTGCACCAGGTACTGTAGGAACGCGGGCACGGAGAAGACGTACAGGAAGAAGCACACATTGTAGGCCGTGCACGAGAACGCCATGGCTGGAAGAAGAAACAACGCAACAACCATGAACTGTTGGCGCTCCGCGCGGATTTCTGGGATCTGCGCTGGACCCCCCCCCCCTCCCTGGCGCGCGGAGCGCGCCAGGGGCGGCGCCGGAGGCGCCACCGGGGGGCCCCGGCGCGGATCCAAGAAATCCGCACGGAGCGGCAAAAGTCTACAGTGGAGGCCAGTCCACAAGAAACCTGCCACAAGAAACCCAGCCCTGAGACCCCAGGGCGTCCACTGATTCTTGGTGCGGGCAGACAGATCGCGCTGTCCATGGAAAAACCATCGAAACCCAAGAAACCCAGGGCACCCTGGAGGCGCAAGCAGGGTGCTTCTTGGCATGGGCCTCCACTCCTAGACCCCCGACGTCGTGATTTTTTCGCAACGTCGACCCCCGGAAGTCTGGACCCCTTCCCCAGGTCCGGTCTTTTTATCCTGGGTGGTTTTTCGACGGTCCCGAGGCCCGGCGAGGGCCACCGGAGGCCGAAAATAGCGACAAACCTGCCGTCGTGATTTGTTGTTGTTGTTGTTGTTGTTGCTGCTGTTGTTGTTGAATATTATTACTTCTAAAGAATAATTATTGTTGGGCCCCCTGGTGCACGCCCCCCCCGCCGCGCCTAGGCCGCAGCCACGTTTTCATCATTTTCGTGAGGAAGCCTCAGGTAAAACGATGTGATCCAGATCCGGTTGTTTTGTTGTAATCCGTTTTCCCTTGCAAAAAACACTATAAAATGACATTTCTTGTTCTAATATAATCAAATTTCAAGAATCCCTTGCAAAAAATAAGGTAAAGTGGACATTCGCGCGCGCAAGACGAAATCCTTCCAAAACCTTAGTGTTCGCAGCGATTTTAACATAAAAACATCAAAAAACCAATGGTTTTTCAACAAAAAATGTCAAAATCTCATCCCGCGCGCTCTTGCGGATTCGTAGGAAACCCAACACTTTTTAAACATTTCTGTCAAACGGGCTTTTGCGAGCAACTTTTTCGAACTTCTGCGACAACGGTTGCGCACCTGCCAGGGCCATCATCCCTGTCAAATAATACCATGCGGGACACATTCGTTTTTTCTTCGCGCGCGCACGCCGAAATCTCCAAAAACCATTGGGCTTCTTAAGAATTTTAGCACCGCGCATCATAAAATCACACGAATCGCACCGTAGGTCCTCGAAAAACACCTGCACGACTTTTCAAAATTTCTACCCGCGCGCGCTGTCCGAATCCTAAAAAAACCAATGGTTTTCCAACATTTATGTTACATGAGCTCGCGCGAGCTACTTTCGCACGCTCTTGCAACGGGGTTCGCGCGCCTGCCAGGGGCCACAATCCCTTGCGGTTGCGCCATAGGTTGCGCCCTCGGCCGCCGAGAATAAAACGTCCCCCTATTGGTTGCGCCATAGGTTGCGCCCTCGGCCGCCGAGAATAAAACGTCCCCCTACTGGTTGCGCCATAGGTTGCCCCAGGAGGCCTTCAATTTGCCCCAAGAGCCCGCCGTGAGGACCCAATAAGCCCCCAAGAGGCCCCAAGATGCTTCCAAGAAGCCCCTCCTTCCGTTCTCTCTTCTCTCCTTTCCTCCTTGTCCTGCTCCTCCTCCTCCTCCTCCTCCGGCGGGGGGCGTGAGGATCCGGCATCGCTCACAACCATCGGGACAACCATCGGGACAACCATCGGAACAACCATCGGGACAACCATCGGGACAATCATCGGGACAGTCATCGGGACAACGATCGGGACAAGCACAACCATCAGGACAACCATCGGGACAATCATCGGGACAACGATCGGGACAACCACAACCATCAGGACAACCATCGGGACAACCATCGAGACAACCATCGGGACAACCATATCCTCTCTCTCTTGTGTATTCCCACATCCCTCAGGAATTTGCCCTAAAGATGTGATCAACTATCTTGTGAGTACGTATCATGTGTATCATGTGTATCATGTACCATATGCATCATATGCAACAGATGTTCTGTGGAAGGCTTAACAACTTCTGTGGGTTAACAAGGCTTAACAACTTCTGTGGGTGTACGAACGTAGGCTTAACAACTTCTGTGGGTGTGTACTCCACGCCAGTGTAGTAGCCACGGTCGTCCGCAGGCCACGAAGTGAAGTGTCCGAACGTCATAGGGCGGGAAGCTGGGTGTGGGTGGTGGCGAAGAGTCGTGTGGATATTTGGTAGAGCTTGCACTGCCCCCCCACAAAGTGGGGGTATTGGCTGGCGTCGCATGAAAACCCTGGCACTGGTGAGAACACTGAGCGTTCGGGTAAAGTGATTGTTGTTGAACATTATTAATTCTAAAGAATAATTATTGTTGGGCCCCCTGGTGCGCGCCCCCCCCGCCGCGCCTAGGCCGCAGCACATTTTCATCATTTTCGTGAGGAAGCCTCAGGTAATTCGATGTGATCAAGATCCGGTTGTTTTGTTGTAATCCGTTTTCCCTTGCAAAAAACACTATAAAATGACATTTCTTGTTCTAATATAATCAAATTTCAAGAATCCCTTGCAAAAAATAAGGTAAAGTGGACATTCGCGCGCGCAAGACGAAATCCTTCCAAAAGCTTAGTGTTCGGAGCGATTTTAACATAAAAACATCAAAAAACCAATGGTTTTTCAACAAAAAAATGTCAAAATCTCATCCCGCGCGCTCTTGCGGATTCGTAGGAAACCCAACACTTTTTAAACATTTCTGTCAAACGGGCTTTTGCGAGCAACTTTTTCGAACTTCTGCGACAACGGTTGCGCACCTGCCAGGGCCATCATCCCTGTCAAATAATACCATGCGGGACACATTCGTTTTTTCTTCGCGCGCGCACGCCGAAATCTCCAAAAACCATTGGGTTCTGTGGGTGTGTACCCCACGCCAGTGTAGTAGCCACGGTCGTCCGCACGCCACGAAGTGAAGTGTCCCAACGTCATAGGGCGGGAAGCTGGGTTTGGGTGGTCGCGAAGAGTCGTTTGGATATTTGGTAGAGCTTGTAATGCCCCCCCACGAAGTGGGGGTATTGCCTGGTGTCGTATGAAAACCCTGGCACTGGGGAGAACACCACGCGTTCGGGTAAAATGATTGTTGTTGTTGTTGTTGTTGTTGTTGTTGTTGTTGTTCCGTTTTTCTCCTCCGATCTGGCCTGGGCAGGCCCTCTGGCCCTCGGCAGAGCACCAGCGCTAAGGCTGCAGCGGCGGTCGGCCTCCCTCGGGGATCGAGCCACAGCGGCTGCCGCGGGGCGCGGGGGCAGCGCACGGCTGGCCTTCTGGCGCGCGGCGCCGCGCGCACGCTCTGCAGACACGCAGGGCCTCCCTGCTCGTCTCGGGGGCCTGGCCAGCTCCCTTCGCTCGGCTGGCCTGCAGTTCGTCTGGGGCTCGCTCCCAACGCTCTGTGTGTGTGTGTGTGTCTCACTCTCTCTTGTATTATCTTTCTGTCTCTCTCTCTCTCTTTCTCTTGATGTGCATGCATATAACTATATAACTACAAGGGTATGTCTATACTCCTGTCTCTCTCTCCCTCCCTCTCCTTCTCGACAAAAAAACCAACCTCTCTGTGGACAGCAAGCAGACTGCGAATACACACTCGAGGACAACTCGTCGTTTAGCAATGTCGGCAAGACACCATCCTGTAAATTCGGGCCTCGCGCAGCGGTCGAGCCGTCCGGCAAGCCAGCGCCCAGATATACACACGGCCGAGATGGGGAGGGGCAGTAAGAAGAAAGGCGAGGAGCAGGAGGAGCAGGAGCAGGAAGAGCAGCCGCAGCAAGCGGGAGCTTCGCAGATGCTCATGGACGGTGCTGGGGGGGAGGGTCCGAGGGAGGGGCTGCTGGCCCACGCCCGCGGCCGGCTCCGGCCCGCACGCGCCGGGCCCCACGTCGCCGCGACGGCAAGCGCCTGGCTGCGTGCTCCGCCAGTGTGGCACCGCGCGGCCACAGCGGTTGGCCCAGGCTGTCACGGATGACGACAGCACAAGAGCTTAGCTGCCCCGATACGCACCACGCAACACGTATCGTACTGATACGGAGCTCAACACGTAGGCTGGAAACGTGGGTCCGACGCGATACATTCGCCAAAACGTGGTCCAATACGTGGAGCCAACACGCAACGTGTTGACACGGAAATCTTGAACACGGGACGTGTTGCGGTTCCAAACGCGCGTATCGAGGCAATTACAGTCGGGGCGCTGACCTAAGGAACCCTACATAAGGAACGAGGCCCCTTTTTATCCCAAGGAATAACGCATAAGGAACCATAAATAACAAATAACGCATAAGAAACTGTGAATAACGCATGCAAGCCTAAGGAACGACCGAGCCCCTTTTGAAAAGTACGTGTTCCTTATTCAAGCCGCTCACTGTAAGCACAAGAGCCGTTGTTTGTTGCGCAGGCTACGCGGGGTGCCCGCGCGTCGCGCGATTCACAGGGCAGCCGTGACAAGGCGGTGGACAGGAACCCGGGCGAGAAGAACAAGGGGGCGAGGACGAGGGGGAGGAGGGCGACGGAAGAGGGGCCGAGAAGTCAACACAGGAGCAACAGGAGAGAGGGAATGAGAGAGAGCGCGACTACGAGGGGGGAGGGATGACAGCGGAGGATGACGACCCGGGATGGCGAGGCCTGACCTGAATCCCCGCAAGGCGTCACTCTGGCCACCGCTCGGACGTCCATTCCCTGTGCTGTTTTCAGCTTCGTGCGTGGTTTGCTTCGCAGGATGATCCAGGATGCTCCCTACGCATCCCCGCCGAGAAAGAGCGCACACGTCCGAGCGACACCAGGCACTGTGCTGGTCCCCCAGGCCGCCCGAGGGCGTGGCGACGGTCTCGCAGCTCGCGGCCCCCCCTCCGAGCCCCCCGAGCAGGACGTGGGAGGGGACGGGGCAGGAGGCAGGCTGGGAGGCCACGGGCAGGAGGCAGGAGCCGAGGAGAAGTGGAGGAGAGGATGGGGACCGGCAGATCCGACGTCTCCCCACAAAAATGCAGCATCGCGAAACATCGCAGCTGAAGCCCTGGACCCCATCTTTCGGCGTCATGTCTCGAGCCGGACCGATCTGCGAGGGTCCCGGGCCCTGACATTGAGCGAGCACGCCCGTCGCGAAAAGACTGCAGCGCCAAAATCTCGTGGGGAGGCGGAGGCCGCACAGCCCATCTCAGGACGAGCGCCCAGCGCGGGAGCGCTGGGAAAAGCTGCCGCCCTGGCTTCGGGTGGGGCATGTCCCCCTACAGGCGGATCTTAAACCAAAGATGGAACATAGCCAAAAAGATCCAAACATGAGCAAAACATCGACAACTCGTCCCCATACAAGGCAGTGTTTAATACATACGATTTTCAAAAATATAGGATTTTTAGTGCATGATTCATTTATGCGTGAATTTGTGCAGGAACTCCTCGCTGATTTTGGTGCTAAATCCCTGCATTTTTCATACATGATCCGCACGCGGCGCATGTATCAAAAACGTCCCCATCCGAGTGCCTTACTATATTTGAAGATTCCTCCCGCAGAGGAGCATGCCCGACGGAGCCCTCACTTAAGCCCAAGGCCGGGGAGTCAGAGCCCATCCCAAGCCCAAGCCGGTCCTTGCTTCCGCGTCTTGGCTGTATGTCTCAGGTTACCCCAAGACCCCCCATGGAGTCATGAAAACATCACGACGGGGGGTGTTTCGCTACTTTCGGCTTTGCCCCTCCTGGCCTCGCCGTGAGGCTGCGCTCCTTCCCTTCCCCCCTCTTTGTTAATTCAAGCTTCGCGCGGCCCGCTTAGCTTCGACCGGAAGAGGTGCGCTCTCGACCCGCGAATCAAAAAAAAAGCGTTTCGCTACTTTCGGCCTCTGGGGACCCTCGCCGGGCCTCGGGACCGTCCGAAAACGACTCGGGAGGAAGAGCCGGTCCCGGGGCATGGGTCGAGACCTCTGGGGGTGCGTCACGAAAAAAGTATGACGTCGGGGGTCTAGGGTTACGGCGCCACGCCCGAGACCCCCCCCCGTACCCCCCTCCAGGCGACAGTGGTGCTGATGCCCCACGCTCCCTCGGATGATCTGCGGGTCCTCTCCACCAGCGGGTCGCCACGATGCCTGTCGTTGACCACGAGCGCGCTCACGTGCGTGTCCCAGCGGATCTCGCCGTGGATCTGCACCTCCTCTCGCGGGTGGGGCAGCATATGCACAGAGGTACGCACGCGATCAAGCATCGTGCTATGAGAAACCTTGGGGTTCACTCTCCGTCGATCTGTGAGTGTCCTGAGGTGCCGCCCCAGGACTTTTGTGGGTTCCTGGGGCCTCTGGGTGGAAGAAGTCCTCGCGGGGCACCTGCCGGCCGGCTGATGTCTTGCCTGATGTGTCGCATGTGCGTTGGCAAAACCTGGGGGTCCCCAGACCGTGTGGTGACAGAACGTGCGGTGACCTCGAAGTCTCGAAGGACCTCACCGCACGGTCCTCCTGACTGCACAGAGCGCCCCCAAGGCATCCCAATAGCGCTCCAAGGGGCCTCCAAAATAGCCAACATTATGGTTTCCCCTAACTGTGCTTGCACTTGGGGCCATATTACTTCTCTTCTGAGGAACGGGGCCTGCGGGCTGCTGTTGCCCCCATGTTGCCGCCGTCGCCGCCTCGTCCCCGCCCATCGCCGCCCGTCGACTGGGCCTGCGAGCCGCTCGGGCCACCATGCCGCCTGCCGCCGTCGCCGCCTCGTCGTCGCCCGTCGCCTGGGCCTGCGGGCCGCCGTGGCCGCCTTGTCGTCGCCGTGGCCGCCTCGTCGCCGTCCGTCGCCTGGGCCTACGGGCTGCTCGGGCCGTCAGTTGGCCGCCGTCGCCGCCTCAGCGCCGCCCGCCTTGCATTGCTTCGCATTGCCTCGAACTGCTTCGCATTGCTTCGCGTTGCTTTGCATTGCTTTGCATTTCTCTGCAGTGCTCCGCATTGCTTTGCATTGTTTTGCATTGGTCTGTAATGTTTGCACCGCATATGTTGCACCACAACTTACACAACATACGTTGACAAAGCTACACGTTGCTGTGCATTGTTTTGCAATGCTCTGAATGTGCTCCCATTTCTGTATATAGATAGGCGTGCTGCAGCACATCTGCATGTGTTGATGTACCTATCTGACTATGCATCTATAGGAGTACGGCAGCACAGTTTATACCACATTCATTGCACATGATACCACAGTTTATACCACTCCAAAAATTGCGCGCGCCGCAAAGGCTGCACCACATATGCTGCTCTACATAGCTGACACGACATGGATTGCACCTTATACTTTGCACCTCAGATATTGCACAATCTGCATATGCAAATATACATGTATACTGCAACATAAAGAATGCACCACGTAAACTGCACTACATGGTTCGTATACAATAACCTGCACCACATGGCTACCGCGCAGCTCGCATGTCACAGCTCACACCACAGCGCTTGCACCGAATAGCTAACAAAGCATAACTGGCACTCCATAGCTTGCACCACATGTATTACACCACATTGCTTGCACGACACCGGTCGCACCACATAGATTGCACAACATAGCGTACACAACACGAAATGCACCACATATATTGCACCACACAGATTGCATCACATCTGCTACACAAAATGTACAACATATAACACCAAGTGGGCTGCAACACAAAGCTTTCACCACATATATTGCACCAAACACATTGCACCATATATATATATATGTACATATAGCACTACATAGGTTGCACCTCGTAACTTACTTCGACTTTTTCAAACAACAAGTAAGAAACTCTACCCCCGGAGGACTATCACCTCCCACTTCCGTATTGCAATTTACGGATGATTTTGCCCTTCGCCCATCCAAAAATATAAATTCATACCATCCCATGGGAAACGGTATCGCCACCCGCGCCATCCTCTGCAAAAAAAAATGCTCGCACCCGTTGACAAAAATCATGTCGTCTGGAGTCCCATGCGAGAAAAAACGGGACGAAGTGCACACACGAACGTCGTCGCGCGCGCATGCCGGAATCCTTCCACAACCTTCGTTTGCGTAAGGATCTCAAAGTCGAGTGTCTGAAACACATATAAAAACAGATGGGGTTCGCAACACGGCTCTCCAAAACAAGTTTGCGGGCGCGCTCTTGCGAATTCGAAGGGAAACCATTGGTTTTTCTGCATGCTCATAAAATGCTACCAAAGGGGGCTTCGCGCGCGCGTGTCGAAATCGTTCGAACGCCCTTGCGCGCGTGCCGTCGCGAGAATCCTCGGCAACAAATGAGACG